AGAACTGGAATGATCTCACTATTGAGGGGGACACTGCTTACCTTCCATTCTTGGATAGAGCAAATTGCACTCCTTCCTGTTGGAAAGGCATCAAGCGCTGCAGGAGCTTGTGAGGGAGGCCTGACATCTGCTGTGACCATCTTGTGTCACAGTGAGAGGGCTGCGGAGGGTCACTATCATCCACAGGCATTATGTTCTCACCAGTAGTTTAGATCTGCATTTAAGATGTAAACAAAAAGATTGCTTTGTAACAACTTGCAACTACTCAGAATTACAATATACACAACGTCGCGCCCAAAAGAAAGCACAGGCAAGCAGATTCCATTTACTTCTATTGGGAAAAGGATGCCAAATAACATCTTTCTCATCCATTTGTTGGGCTCATGGGACATATAGCTGGTGTCGGGTGGAATCCTCCTTCCTCGAAAATCATCAATTTCTGGAGACCCCCAAAATGTCCAATTTGTTTAACCACTAACATTACCTCATCAAAGACACAAAGTCATTTTTAACATTTTATATTTGCCAATAATTTGCAAAAACAGCCCCCACACCAGTAGACTGACCAATAGCATAGATTTGTGAAAAAAAAATATGAAATTTAACAGATATATATGTACACTGGAGATTTCAGCCCGATGCCATGTATTTGTCAATTAATTAACAATACCAGCACAGCCAAACAAGCTAATGTATCAGCTACTTGACTTTTGCATTGATTTTTCAATATAAACCGGATGTTGGGTCCAAGTGATTAATGCGCTTCAACCTCCATTATTAGAGTAAGAATTCCACTAATCAATACAAAAAGCAATTTAATTTTGGCGAATAATTAAACAACCTCAATAACACTGCGGTCGGTATATGCGGTAGACAACTTCATGGAAGCAGAGCAGTGCAGTTCAGCATACAATAACGTCCACTGACACTGCGCCCCAAAACGAGAATCTAACAGGCCAAATCCACCAGTTTTAATCAAGGCACGATGCAGGACTGGTCGCATCGCGTACGTCATAGTCAGGTCAAGTCAGCTTTTATTGTCAAATATGCTCTAAGTAAACATACAGCACAGATGAAATTACTTTCCTCTCTCAACCACAGTGCAAACATGTACAGTCGTGCATTGAACACACACAGCTAAAATTTACATAAAATTACATAAGGCATAAATGGTTGCACCAGTTTAACTCGGTAAAAATGCCCGTCGTCATTTTGGCTTGTGTATGTGTTTTCCCCTACCAGGTATGAAAGCAGAACGTAAAAAACTGAAAACCGCTTGGGAAAAAGAAGACTGAAGTGCAACGTGGAGGGTATATGCCGGCAAAATATGGAGGGGCACTCGGTTTATGTCGCCGACCACCCACCTAGAACGTTCACAAATCGGTCAACTTTTTGTCACATGTGATTCACGGGAGCCTCACGCACCAAATACACCCAAGGAGTAAACGATAACAGCAGCAATCAATGACACGCATTTAAATGACACGAGACATTTCTGAGCGCAAATGGTTGTATGTTGGCACACACTAACACCGGAAGACAACGAGCCGTAGTATATTTTCAACGCCCTCACATCTAGAGTGAACTGCTCAGTAAACGAACGCTCTTGAGCGCCTTGCTTGGGTCCGTTACCTGACGTCCTCCCATGGTGGTTAACGTACACTGTTGGACCAACAACGCGTCTAAACGCTAAGGCACGTCAACGGCTGCGTACCATTTGTGAACCGAAGTGGTAAGGCAACACTCGATGCCCTCACAGAAGTTGTAAGCTAGCCTGTTAGCTTTATGGGAGCAAGGCGTGTCGCACTTTGTAGCTAGCAGCTGCAAACAGCAGTCTCGCGAGTGTGTGACAGCTCCCAGCCAGCCCGGCCGGTATTAGCTCTGCTTAGCCCCGAATAGACGTCACTTCTGACATTGTGTCTTGTTATTTTACTGTAGGGAACATGGCCCGAAAGCAAACATAATTATGCAAGCTAACCAACGATGGTAGCTGCTGGTGGGTACTGAATCAAGCAAGGCGCACTTGTTTCATTACACTGAAATAAATAACTTTTCGGCCTGTTCGTCGTACAACACAAAATTCATTAATTAATACGTATGTTAATTCATGAACATCTGCATTTCCCAATCTTTTCCCTGTTTTTTAAGTGGTTGTGAAGTTTTGCTGCATGTGCAACGTGTTTATATGAGCGAAAAACATTTTAAATAGGCAATATTGCAGCGTAAATCCGGGAATAATTCCATCACTCCTGTTGAATTTGTAATTCTTCAAATCACGAACTTCTATGTTTTTCCTATATTGCATGTTACGGTAGAAATGGGGGAAAAGTCTCCCTTTTATTAACAAAGTGTCATCTGCTGGAGAATTCTTCTGTTGACGCAAATATTGTGGCAAAACCTCCATTTTGGTTTGGTTGTCATTTATCATAATGCGGAAAAAAATGTTATGCTTGTCGAATCAGTGGCCCAGTCATTTTGATGCATAAGTCTAGGCAATTATTGCCTCACGGTCAAAATGTAGCGAGATTAAAGTTACAGCATGGACAGATTGCCTCATGGATGATTGAGCATACTGATACAGTGGCGTCATTTTCATGAAGCAAGCAGCATGGTCTGGTGCAACTGGTTGGTAGATACTTTTATTATCATGCAGGAAATTCAAAAATAAAAACTTATCCGTGAATTAATGAGTTCTCTCCTGAGCTATTCTGTGTTTGTTGTTTCTTCCACCATCCAAGGTAGAAAATGGTCAAATCTACATTATCATAGATATATGAAACTTTGTGTGGCAATGGCCTAATTCAGTGTTACTCGCATAGAATAATGGTGGTTTTGGAGTTGATGTTGTCCAATATTGAGGTTGGGGATATTGTGTCTTTCTGTCAAAAAGATGTGGCTCGGTGACTAAATAATTAATCACCATCCAGGGGGAAATCTTCCTTTCGTGTATTATTTGGTCCAGCAGGCTCTTAAATAATTCAGCTGTCAATCTATAAATTGTTACTGTTTAATCAGTGACCTTTTCATAGGATAAAGGAAGCACAATAATACATTTGTCGGAGAAGGCGCTCAGGAAGGATTGGTTGTCAACGTCTGATGCTAGTTGCTAAGTGACGGTGGGAACTTCACCCACTGTGTTTGCTGTGAAATGTCTGAGAAATGTTCAGAAACAATCACATAATGGCAGTCTAGACATTGGCTGTTGCGCAGGGCACATGTCAGTGACTTCACCTATTGAGGAAAGTGCTTAGTGAGGACGGTTTTAACATTTTCCTTTCCACCTTCCCACAACAGTAGGTATTTTAATGAAATTAACACTCGTGGGCATGCCATGATCCCTCATTATTTTCCAATGAAATGCTCCAAAGTGATTAAAGGCGCTTTTGATGAAATAGAGGAGGTCAGTGGTCTGGTCTCATTATGTACAGGCAGAAAATTGTTTCCAGCAGATCCATTAAGCTTGTAATTTGCTTCAAGTAGATTGCTTTCTTAGAGAAGGTCTTCTTTCGGCCTGTGTGCTGGGCGGTATTTCAGGTTCTCTGAGTCAAGTAGGATTAGCCGTAGCCCCGTCGACTTGTGTGAGAAGCAGGGTGCCAGCTTTATTGGGACACTCGCCCAGTGAACAGCTCGGCCTCTCAGCAGCCAGCGCCTCCCCATCGACTCTCCACCTGGTGTTTAAGCACCTAGCAGGCCGCAGTCGTGTCGTTGCTGTCCGCTCTCCTTTTCTCCTCGCTGCTTGCCAACCTCCTTCTCCTTCAATGCAGGTTTAACTCCCTGCTTCTCACTCTCACTCTGTGTGTCTATGCCGCCTTCCTCCCTCCTTCCATCTCATTCTGTCTATTCCATGTCCCCGCATGCCCTTTCCTCCTTTCTGCCTCCCCCGCCTCCATCCTAAAGCAGAGTAGCTAATGAAGAGACCCATTTAGGCGCTGACTTTGGTTCATACAGCCCTCCGTAGCGCCGGCCGGCCTCGGCTGCTGTGACTGGCTGTTTGGGCTCTGACATCACACAGGAGCCAGCTGTTGATTTGGCGCTGTTTCCAAGGCTGGCTGGCTTGATGGGTTGTGGCAGGTACACTTGTGCTTGCGCAGCATCCTCCCCTCCCTCTTTGTGACACCCACTCCCCTTCAGCCTCTTCTTTTAGACCCCCTTCTCCCCATCTCACACGCTCACTCTTTCGCGCAAGTGTGCAGGAGGCAGCCGGCAGCTGCTGGAAGTGTGAGCTGGGAGGCGACTCCAGTCTCTTCTCCAGCAAATATTGCCTCCTGTACACAATGGAAGCTAAAGAGCTGAGTTGCATTTGGGATGGAGGGCAGGTAGGTCCTGCAGCTTCCTCTCTCTCAATATTATCTTGCGCTTCGCTAAATGATCCTTTTTACCTCTGTGCTTCTTTTTTCCTTGTCAGTGTTGTCTGTTCTCCTATATTCTTGAATGCGCATACTTAAGGTTTGGTTCATTCAGTTTGAAATCCAACTCAGATTCAAACAAAAAAGATGCGTGCATATATTTCTTTGCTTTTGTGCTGGCTTGGCTCTAAATCACTGAGCAAGGATGCCATCTTTCCCTTGGGCTTGTTAAAGTAAAATTTGGTACGCACGGCACATGGCACGGTGCTGCCTCCTCAAGAGTTACCCATGCTTGGCTTTTCATGAGAGCATAATTAACCAAGATGAGCCAGTAAGAGGTTTGACTCTTGCTTATTTTCTAGCCTCTGTCGTTCTGCAGGTGCAAATGGACTTTTAATGACTACGGCAGACTTTTTAACTTTCGTCCTCATGAGGCACCGTTAGGTAAAACTGCAAGACTTGCATGAGAGTTTTCTCCATTTTATTGTGTCTCCTTTAATTACCCAGATTGATATTCCCAAGAAGTTCTCCTCTGGGACTGGTAATGGATTACCTACATGCTCTGCTGCAAATGTAATTTATTAATGCTGCCTGCCCGCGCCTCTACCGCAGTGTCCTGCGCTCGCATCACCATATGCAACCTGGAGGCAGCGCACGGCATGCAATTAGGGCTCATTTATGCTTTTTCAGTTAATTTAACCGTCCGTTTGCTGGCAGTTCCTTAAGATGACATGGGCTTCGTTGCCCTGAAATTAGGGGAAGCAGGGGATGAAAGTGCTATCATTTCATTGGCTTTACACTAATGGCTTTCCGGCTCCCCTGTCAATTCTTTCCTGGATTTGCAATTAGAAGAAATAGCTAGGAAATGGTAGATTAGTTGCTCAGCTGAGCGAAACACAAAAATCTATTTTGTTGCAGTGCCATGAGTGTAAAGCTGCATTAGTATCCTAATTAGCTGTTTATTGAGTGTTTTATTTTATTCACCAGGTTGTGTGTGCTGGGCCAAATAGAAAGTGGCTTATGGCATGTCGTGTGCAAATTGTTTAATTGTACCACCTCAATATGTGGCTAATAGGCTGTACTTGATTTTTTTCTTATCACCAAAATGTCTCTTTAGTGAGATATTTTTGCCTTTTTTTTTTTTTAAAAACAACTAAAAAATGAAAAGCTCACCCACAGAGCTAAGTCTTTGTGTCGGCGCTTTTGGTTCACTATGCCTCACTCATAGTGGACAGTCAGAGCTGTTTGCTGATGTTTCTCCGCCTTTCTTTTTTTATGTGAAAATCATCATTAAAAAATATAATCCACTTCCGCCAATGTGAGGAGTCATCCATTTTTCGCTCAGTGTTTGACTCCTCTTCGCCTCCTCCCCACATTTGAGCTGCAGGCGGAGTTGAACTCTGAGGATGGAATTGAGGGTCCTTTTCCTACACTCAAGCTGGTTTTAGCCCAGGCAATTGCCCTGACCCGCGCAGAAAGAACATAGTGGAGGGAATGATAGGTCAGAATTTGTGAGAGAGACAGGTGTGCGCGCTGAAGTGAAGAGGAAAGAAAAAATAACTGTCAAAATGTGACTACATCCACCTCTACCACCAAGCTCCCGTGCGTGTCATCGCTTGCAACCTCTTAGGTGCCCCCTAAGTAATTTCTCATGAGCCTGCTGTCTACATAATTGTCTGTGAGAGCTGTCCGTTAAGCGCCTGGGGTATGATTCACTCGGCCACCCTCATGACATTTTTATGCTGCCACCTTGTCTTTTAATAATCAATTTTCTTTAGGGG